CAGTCAGACTGAACATTCTTGCTGTAACACTCTCGTTTGTATATGTTTGTATTAATGTTTCTGTTAATATATTTGTTTAACTCAATTCCTCTCTTTGTGCTTTTATTTCTGGCCCTGACAAGGCCACAATAATATCTAATGTGTTACACACACACATACACATTTATGTTAAAACTAACTTTTAAAGAGTTTCTATCATCTTTTTCTGTTGCTAAAACTCGGAAAATACACGTTGGAATAAATTCATATAATCTGAAAGATGTTTTGATTGTAATGGGGGTGCTATGCAAAAAAAGAACATTTTCATTTTGCATTTTCCCATGACAGGGATCATTATAGTCACAATAGAGCAAAACCTTAATACATGTGCAGAAATGAATAGCTGAAAGAGAGAAATGACTAACATACATGGTTCTCAAAGAGATTTTCTTATATTGATATATACATACTTGTTATTAATTTGTCCCACACAGAAGTATTATAACATATGTAAACAACAAGCAGTGTGAAAGGGGTAAAAAAAAGAGGGGCTTCTATTATTTCCTGAGAAAATGGGCAGACCAGTGGTGTTTTCTCTTTACCTGGTGAGACCATGTGGTATTCTCTGTACACCCTACTGCTATGAGCTTGTCACATCTTCTTTGCAGCCTACATAGCAACTGGCCTTCTGGTGTGAGAAATAGCAATCACTCACCAGCCATCATGTGACCCTCATGACTTCATCTTAGCCAAAGGGAGATAATCACTTATTGCATCCTTATACATTTTCTATTGTCCAATTATGTGATTGTTGGTGAGTTAAATAAAATATATCGATTATCATGAGCAATTTCACTTCTCGATTTTATCCCAGCATCCTGCACCGTTGGAAAGTGCCTTGAAAACTGTACCACAATTTAGAACTATTCAGCTGTCGATGTTTGTGCTAGCACAAAGTCACAAGTTATCATGACCGAGTGTTTGAGTGTACTGATTTTGTCCAAACTGTATTATGCCAGATAACATGCCCTCCCAGAAACTGACTAAATCCTGCTTAGCATAGCTGCAGTATAAACCACATATGAACTCTTTGGGTGTTGAACAAGCACAAATATGCATGAGCAGGCGTCTGCAACAGGGATTTGCTAACTGCCCTAGCAAATGGGTGCACTTGGAAATGAGTAGCCAGCCACTATTTTTTTTTATGTTACTATATATTTGCTTTTGATATTTTTCACATGCAAATCAAATTCTATGTTTAGGTTTGGGTTTCTGGTGCCTTCAACTTTGTACTTCTGACATCTCTGCCTGAAATCTGAAATTTTATTCAGTAATTATTTTTTTTTCCTTTCTCAATAGTAGATAGGTCTGCCTATCATATGTTCACACTATTCCCTGGTTTTTTGAACAAGAGTAGAGGTTTATCTCTTGTTTCCTGCTTAGGATTGGGTTTCCAGTTCCTTATAAATTCTACTTCGACTCTATAATTCTAACATCTCACTTTTTGCCCTTTCATATGCTAATGCACCCCCACCACACAGTAACCCTCTACTTTTGAGTGGCCCTTGGGTGAATATGGGTGAATTGGGTGAATATTAGTTTAAAAAAAAAAAAAAAAAAAAAAAAAAAAAAAGGTTAACACAAGATAAGCAGTTCTGTTGTAAAGAATATTCCATTATTTGAAAAATGCCATAATCATTATAATTATTAATCATAATTAACTGTTGATTAGTAGAAAGAAAAGAACATACAGAAATTAAAATTTAATTAGGGTCACAAAAGAATAGTTTTAAAAGAAGAAAAACTCAGTTGTGCATTCATTAAATTTTAATCTGAAGCTATTCAAAGAGAATGTCAGTACAATGGTACTGAAATCTGAGGCACTTGGAGATACTAACTGAACATATTGATCTATTGATTCATCACGGCCAATCGTTTATCACATGGAAGAAATCTGATAACCAATTAGAGTTAATGACTGAGCAAAAAAAAAAAAATCCAAAAATAAAATTTCATCTTAACATATAAAAAAAGACATGTTTCTTTTTTTAATTTACTAGAGAAATATTTTTTTTAACTAGATATGGATTAGATAGCAAAATCAACATTCTAACCATCAGAATTCAATAATCAATTATCATTTATAAATAACACATAAAATGTTTATTATTTACGTTATTTACATGCAGACTTGTCTTCATCAATGTTGTCATTATCACAACATTTCGGCATTGTGCCCTTCTGCCTTCATCAGGTACTTGTTGATCAGGGTAACAAGAAGCTCAAAATTCCCTAAAGATTACCCGGACTGATGAGCACCTGGTGAAGGCTGGAAGGTACAATGGCTGAAACATTGTGATAATAACAACAATGATGAAGATAAAAGACCATATGCAAATAAGAAGAAATTCAGACATAAATAAAATGTTGAGGATCCCTATTTGGAGTCTTCCTATTTGTAAGAATAAAAAAGAATATAAATTTATATTTTCAAATCTTTGGGATTTCATTATTAAAAATATATAAAAAATCTCACAAATTCATGATAAAGAAAAATAAAGTTTAGTACTGAAAATGTTATTTGCATGAGGTGATTACAACACAAGCAAATTGTTAAAGGAAAATATAAACTTGTGAATTGGATGTGTTGTGTTTGAATCAGGTTTTATGATGGAAGGAAAGGGTCATTCATTTTGGGGTGAGGAAGGATTTAAATGTCCTACCATGCATGGGTACTGATCATGCGTTAGAAGGAAGGAAAAAGAACCAGGATAATGCTTTTGGTATTAAGGCAGCAAGACAGGCAAGCAAATATAGGCATCACTGTGACAAGATAAATGAGCAGGCTTTATGAACCCACCCTAGAGTGCAGATGAAGTTGGAAAATGAAAACTCAATCAAGGATTTTCTTCAGATACATACTGAATTGCTCTAAACTTTACTTGCACTTCAAGGTAAGTTTAGCCGTTTGAGCATTTATCCTTCCACAATATCAGACAACATTGTAATATTAAAAATTCAGGCAGGTAGCATCAACATCAAAATAAGTGAAAAAAAATAAGTGGATTAACCTATAAATTGAAATTCTCAAGCTAAAAAGTGAAAAAAATTTTAAAAGTCTAAAAAAAAAATTTAAAAAAGTGAAAAGCAACCAACAAAAAAGAAAAAAAAAGTGCCTAACACAGGGGGGCAAGGCACTTAATAAAAGTGAGAGACAAAACAATAAAAGGTTTTTTAAAAAAATGATTTATTTAAATTGATTGTTTTTCCATAATATTTTTGCATTCCCTATGCCGACAGAGGGTAAAACTAGCAAAAATCATTCAGGATCAAAGAATTATGAAGTAAAAAAAGAAAAAAAAGAAAAAAAAAAAAAAAAAAGAAGAAAGACACACATACACACACATCCAAACCAGCAGAATCACAATTATTTTTTTTATAATATTGTCTTTTTTAAATCAATATTAAAAAATGTCTAAAAGCATCAACTTCAACAAGAAAATATTAAAAAATAATATAAAGAAAAGATCAATTTTAAGTTATTTTCATTGTTTTTTTTGGGTTTTTTTTTTGTCAGTTTTATATATGCTTGTGTTAGATTCATTCCCATTGCATATTTGACAATAAATATTGCATAAGTTGTAGACTAAGGAACAGAGAGTAACAAGCAATCGTAACAATAGACAAGAGTAGAAATTATTAATTGCAAACAAGAGAAACACGGAGAAGCCAAATTTTTAAACTTAGATCAATTTCATAGAGTTTTCTTTTTAATTTTGGATAAAAAGTTAATACAGTAAACAGAACAAAAATAAGTTAAATATTAATTGGTTAAGATCTTTGGGTTTATTGCCCTATTTTTTATAATAAATAAATGGCAAATACATAAGACAATCTGGAAAACTTATTTTAACATGTTCTTCTCAGTCATCAGAGAAATGGATTTTATTTCAAACAAATCTATATCATTGAGAGAGAACATGATTTGTGTTAATCATATGAATAGTGGATTTTTTTTTTTGCTTTAACTGTATTGTTTTTTTTAAATTGGATTTTACTAATTCCAAATTGTTTTTTTTTATTTATAAGTCGACCATTTGTCATTGCTTTTAATACTGCTGCTACATCTGGTGTGGTGCTCCTATTATGTATTTAGAGATTCTTGATAAAATCTACAGAAGAAACTCAATGTTATTAGTCCTGACCTGGCATCTCGGCTTCAGCCATTTTCCCACTGCCATAACATAGCTTCCTGTGTCTTTTCTATTAATATTTTCATGTTAGTTGTTTTGATGAACTTTCCTCTTTGGTACCTAGACTTTATGAATTTAAATGCAGTACTAGATTGGTAGCAAGGTCTCATCATTTTACAGTTGCAATGGCTAGATGTAACCATAAGTTTTATGCTAACAGTTTCATCTACTGTACTTCTTGCTTGTGAAATGATTAAAAAAAAGAAAAATCCAACAGTTTCATTATTAATGTAAATCATGTTCTGTATCACTGGAGATTTACTTGAAATAAAATCTATTTTTTCTAATGACTCCGTTTGATCAGCAAAACATATCAAAATAAAGAGTTTTCTAATCATTTCTTATATATTTGCCATTCTGTTGGATTCCCATCCAAATTTAAATCAATAAATAAATGACGGATATTTTAAGCTATAATAATTATGTCAAGACTTTAAAAAAAAAAAAATCTAAGAGGATGGTTTTTAAATGGCTTTTAAGTAAATGAGAGAAGTTTTTTTTTATGAAATACTGCACATCTATTTTTAAGGACTAACAGAAAGGTTTACTTTAGTTCATAAAAGTAAAAAAAAGACAAAATAGCACCATAAATCCCCCCACCCGCAACACTTTATCTTTTTCATTTATTTTGTTGAGTTTAAGCAGCCTAACAGCAAATTCAGAAATGTGAGAAAAGAGAAAGTTTATGAAGATGTTTTGTTGCTTTTTAGTATTTTTAGTGTTAGTAACTATTTAAGCAGCAATAGCAAAGTCCCAAGATGGCCATTGTTAAACAGTAGATTCATAAGAAAAAGTTTGATAGTAATAGGGCTGATTGCCAGGATAAACTATATTTGGAGAAATGGGAGAGACAGGTGTACTTGGTTCTGATTCCACCATTGATCGAGGACGTTTGGATGAGTTTTTCCTTTGGAGGAAGAGTAATGAGAAATTGAGAGCTGACACAGGTGATGGAGGAGTAACGGCAGAAGTGCGTAGCTTAGAAAAGAACTTTTTGGGGCTTGATTTTTTAAAGACGGGGATGGAAATGGAGTTGGGGGAAGAGATGACCTCCTCATGATTCGATGATGAAGAGTAGTCGGAACAGCCAACCGACGAGGTACTGACCTTTACAGAATCGGGATCCTCCTTCGTAAGCTCTTCATCCTCCTCGTTTTCACAACATATACCCACTTCATACGCCACAATTGAAGCATGATCAAGTTTGCCAGGAGCTTTAGACATTTGCTCAACAATCTGTGAGTCTCTACGCTTGCGTTCTTTAGACGTCATTTTTTTCTTCTTATACAATTCTGGATTCTCAAGTATTTTTCTTTTGGAGTCTGTGAGGGTAAGAACATGTTGCACCAGAGCTCCACAAAGTTCTTGTGCAGAACAAGTCTCCTCTGTTAATAATTCGTGTTCATGAACAATACGCTCCATTTCTTTAAGAGCGTATATGTGCCTTTCCCGTGGCTCCATCATCGGTTTGTCTTCATTTGCATCTGGAGTTGTGGGTGAAGCATCATTTGAGTTATTGTCAACGTCTTTTTTGGGAATGGCAACTTTTGTGACCACGGGATCAAAGTTATCAGATATGCCATCAGTTGTTAAGAACACTACATCACCTTTATTAACAAACGTTAGTGAACAGGTGAGATTCTGTAGTTCGGGGTTATCACCATCAACAGGGCCAATAGCGCCCCCAGCATCGCGAATATCTCGCTCAGAGGCAACATCGTGAGAACCTACAGTCACTTCTCGAATTCCATTGTTTTTGCTAAAGACATATGCAAAACTGTCCCCAACATTAACACAGCAAACAGCAAAATCAGCAGAATTATAAACTGGGCACACAAGACAGACACAAAGAGTGGTCAGACCTCCCTCTTTCTTCAGAATGGTATTGTGTGCTGCATCCATAGAGGTTCGTAGTAATTCCAGAGCTTCCTACAAAAATACAGATACACAATATAAATCAGAAACTGAGTTAAAAAAAAAAAAAAATCACGCAAGTTTTTAAAAAAAAAAGTGGACAGAGATTAAAAAATAAAATATATATATATATATATATATATATATAATAATTAGAAACAACAAAAAAAAAAAAAAAAAAAAAAACAATAAAAAACAAAAAAAACGTCCAAGGTATGTCTGAAAAGTATCCGACCATTTTGAAAACATCAATTGGTTATGTAAGTTTGAAGAAACTTGTCAGCCAATGAAAGAGAACATTATTGTACGGACTCTCATGTGGTTACTCGGTCCGTACTAAGAGGCCAGTGCAAAAGTCTGTGTGCTGTGTGACTTACAATGACTAAATGTCTATTCATTCTTCATATCATGTAAATGGGCTTTTAGCAAAACATTGCCTGACCCAGGTGTAATGTTCTCCCCTTCTATCTAACAATGTCAAAAAGGAGATTTTAGAATGAGGACAAGGTTTATAAAGATATGATGACAATCACAAAAGGGGCCTTAACAGACCATTCTGAAAACTGGAAAGGGATGCTGGAACAAATGTGTTAGGTCACAAGGTGAGTACTTTGAAGGGGACTAAGGTGCCATTGCCCTAGGTAGGCAATTTTTGCATTAATATCAAATGACTGATACTTTTCAGACAGACTTCATGATACAACTATACACTATATATACATACACATAATATATACAACTATACATAAAATGCATATACTATTATACATTAATCTTTCGAGACTAGTGTTCCTGGCTGTTGTACATAGGTACATTAGTAAGATGGAAAAACAAAAGATTGACTGGCGTTGAGGTCTCATCAATTTACAGTTGAGCTGGCTAGATGTAACTGTAAATTCTGTGCTAACAGTTTCTTTTCCCCACACTTCTCACTTGTGGAACATCCTCCCAGCTCAATGCTCTCCAGCCAATTTTAATCTTCAAAAATTTAAATGCACTGTCAATCAAGATCTACTGTTTTCCTGATTACTCTTCTTTTGTTTTCGTTCATTAGTAAAGTTTCTGTTTTCTAACTCTATCACACCCAGTAACCCCTTGTGGGTCAGTGGCTTTACTGCCTTGCTTGGGACAAAATCAATTAAAAAATGATTTTAAAGATCTTATAAGAGATACAAAACTGAATTGATGCAATAAGATAAATATAATTAAAAGGGAAAAGAGAAAAACTTTAACTACAGTAGTTGGCAATACAAAAAGAAAAAAATGAAAAGAACAAAATAAATACTGCTGCTCTTAACTTGTTAGAATTTGACTGAGGAAATTAAGATATTGTGCATACTGACTTGGGTCTGCAATCGCTGAACATCTTATACAAAATTAGGAATGTGCCTCATCTTTCTGTGAAGACATATTTTCAGTTTTGAGCAGATCATACTCCAACTATCACTTAAAGTCCTTGAGACAATTGATGTTAAAATCAACTCAATCATCCTTATGCAAAAAAAAAAGGATTGGTTATTAGAAGTTAGTGTGATCTTTCTATAGATATATCCATATCGAAATGTTACTGATATGTGTGTATTTTCTTTTTTAATGTTTCCCATTTTTAGTCAATGTTCACAATATTTTAATTTCCTCAATTGAAAGATAACCATAGTCATTCCATAGTAATTGTTCTTCTGTATTACCAAATACAGTAATTGTATTTTTTCTTGTATCTTTTAATTATCGGTTTTTTATCCTTATGAAAGAAACACAAGTCAAAAATGAATAATAACTGACAATATTCATCTAACAATGATAAAACTCAAGATAATATTACTACTAATACTAAATGGTGCAGCTATTCGTATTCAAGGATGCCAGTCTACTAGTGTAGACTATCTAATCCCCATTGCTGATGATTGCTCAGGCACATTTGTGTTTATTCAACACCCAGTGAGCCCACCTGTGCTTTATACTGCAACTACGCTGAGCGAACCTTAGTTATAGTTTCTGGGAGAGAGTGTGTTATCTAGCATGATCAACAGTTTGAACAAGGCCATGGTGACTTGTGACTTTGTGCTACCACAACCATTGACATCTCCCAAGGGTACTGTCTACCCAATTTTACTCACAAGGCTTGGGTCAACTGTGGCATGGTTTTCAGGCACTTTCCAAAGGAGCTGCATGCTGGGATTGTTCCCATTTCAGACCGATAACATCAAAAAGTCACCTTCCTGACAAATCAACCCTGTTGAGATTTGAACCAAAGTCTCATGGTCAGAAAGTGAATGTTTTAACCATTTGGCCACATGCCCATAATAATACTACTAGTGTAAATAAAGTAAGTGAAATTGTGATCAAAAATTAATAAAGCTTACAATGCTTCATCTAATAATAAATATTCAATATTATTACTGATACAACTTATGTACATAGTATGATCACAAATCCCATAAGCCCTTAGTGTTGTAGGAGTAACACATCTACTACAAACAGCAGTACAGGCGTTTCATGGGCAAGGGAGCCTGATGGAGCCCAACTCTCTGCTGGCTGGTTTGAATTCAGAGTTTTCCTTCTTCTAGAGTGGTTGACAACTAAAGCTAAAGGGCCCAATCTATTCTGCTATTTACTCATAGGTGGAGCAGAAGACCTGGATTCATATATTTTCCAAGGGTAAGAGAATGTAATGAACTCAACCAGAATTCAAACTTGGCACTCCAATTCCTCAATCCGAGCCACTATCCATTACTCCACCATACTCCTATATGTAAATATAGCTAGTGAAATTAAGATGAGTAAAAAATTAATAATGGTTGACAATGCATTATTTAATAAATTAAAAAAAAAATTAATTCAATTATGCAAACAAAGATGATGGCATAATATTGTTCAGGGAAAATATGGAATATATCTATATAATTAAATCTGAATGACTGCAGTTAGAAGCCTTTGTAGCCTAATCAATAAAAACTGCAACCACCATAAGACAGGCTTTCAAAGGTAAGGAATGAAGGTTTAAGTCTTGTCAGGAACTTAGTCTTGATTTCTGATACATCCTGCTTAATAACATTTATGAAATGAAGATTTGGAAGTTGTGATAAAAAGCAACTTAAATTAAGATGAAATTAATATTAGCCAAAAATTAATAATTGAATTTATTTCAACTAATAATTTCAGAGGTCTTGTCTTTTCTTCTGAAGTACTACTCAATTACTACAAGTTCTTTCTTCACTGAGTCCAGGCCTGTACTATTTGGCCGAGGAATTGAACTCATAACCATTAAGCTACAAAATAGTTCCATGGGACAATAGCATAGTGGATTAAAGAATTTATGAATTTGAGAACATGGTGATTGTGAGTTCAATCCCTTGGCCAGGCAGCATGTACTTGGGTTCAGTAGAAATGGGGCAAGCAATAACTGAGCAATACTAAATAAAGAACAGGAACAATCTATCCTGATAGATTAAATAAAGGGTTCAGTTTGAAATTCCCTGAAGGTTATCCAGATTGACAAGCACAACAGCCAAGAAGCTGTGATAATAACATCAAAGATGAGGACAACAGTCTTCATGTAAATAAAAAATTGATGAAGGATTGTTTTCTTTAAAACCAAAAAAAAAAAAAAAAAAAGAATTCATTCACTTGAAGCCATTATTAATCATGGATTTGTATAGAACTGACAGTTTAGATATTTTTGAATGAGTTGGATGTCATACATGATATCCATATGAGAGCCTAGATCTGATGTGGCTATTTAAGGATATGACTCAAGTTCTTATAGCTGATAGTTTAGACCTTTTAGAATGAGTTGGATATCATACACGACATCTGTATGGGAGCCTAGATCTGATGTGCTATTTAAGAACATGAATCAATTTCTTTAGTTAATATTTTGGTTTTGTAGAATCTCATGGTATTGGACAAGACTATTCCGAGTACAGTCTATCCTATGTTTAATTTCCTTATCTCCTATACTAAATTTGTTATAACTGATTCATACACAGATCTATTTCAAGTGTTTATTAATTTCAAATTGAATTTTTATGAAGGATCCAGGGTAGATACTATCACTACTCACATTCCAATTCCAAACATAGTTTCTGTTTGGGAAAGGTTTATCTTAAGCCCCATTTATTTTTAAAAAATAATTTCCTTCAATTAAGGCAATAAAACCACTAAGTCACAATAAACATTGAGGAAAAAGGACAATAAAAAGGACAGGAGTCAAGGAGATACAAGATGATGAGTGATGACGCATTTAAATTTTTGAAGATTGTAGTTAACAGGAAAGCAAGCAGCTGGAATAGAGTCCCACAGGTGAGAAGTGCAAGAGAAGAAATTATTAGAAAAGAACTTACAGTTACATTTAGCAATTTCAACAGTACAATGCAGAGACCTAGTTGCCAACCTAATACTACGGATAAATTCATGAAAGTGCAGTACCAAAGAGAACCATTAGAACAACTGCTATGAAAATATTTGTAGAGAAGGGAGGGGAAAGCTATATTATGGCAATGGGGAAGTGATTGAAGCCGAGATGTCAGGTTAGGGATAACATTGAAGATTCTTTCAATTTTGCCAAGAATCTCTAGATATATAATTAACCCACTAACTAGATGTGGTAACAATATCAATGCACAGATAAATAGACTTTTGAGGTACAAGACAATCTGAATGAGAAAGCTTGTCTAGCACAACTCAGTAAACTGACTAGCAGGAGATTCAGCAATTAACTCAATTCAAGTATTCCAATACATATCAGTGGAAAATGTTAGACACGGAAGGTGCAATGAGTTATTCTCCTGGGGGTTAGCATCAGCCATACCAATGAAAGGCAAAAAAAGGTTCTCTAAAACAAAGACTTGTTAAAGAATATTGAATGGTCAAGATCATTCTTATACCAACTATGTATACCTATGTCATCAGCATAGCCCACCCTCATCACACTTATCATTGGTACACTGATTTCTGAAAGGAAAACTGGAATTTTCTTTCAATTGAATAAAAAGGTGGATAATGTTAAGAATGTG